TATCAAGGTATGGTGTAGCAGCCAACTACACCACGGCCGCGCACCCCTAGGCAAATGCTCCCGTGGAGAGAGGACATAGTACCATTACGAGTCTCTTGGCTAAGTGGACCGAAGGTAGACCTAATCAATGGCCAAGATACCTAAGGGCGACATTCTTTGTTGAGAACATTACAGTAAAAAGATCCACCAAGTACGCACCTGCGACCCTGTGGTATGGAAGGCACGCCACATTCCCTATCGAAAGCTTTCTTAAGACATGGAGGCGCCAGGATCTAGAAATTAGCCTGTCATTTGAAGAGTTGCTCAAAATTCGGGCGCGGCAGATAGAGGCGATAGAAGAAAGGATCCAGGAGGCGTCTGATTAGATGGCGAGAAGCCGTATGGATGATAAGGCTCGATGGGACCAGTCTGCGCAGGTGAGGAAAGTACCTCTGGCAGTTGGGGACGTCGTGCTTCTCTACGATTCATCGCTGGAAAAGCAGTGGTCCAGGAAACTTGATAAGAGGTGGTTAGGTCCCTACYGGATCGTACGGGTTGGAGACTTCGGAGCGTACCAGATTGAGGAGTTGAATGAGACTGAGTGGAAGGATTGGGTATCTGGAACGCGATTGAAGAAATTTGTGGCAAGAGAAGAGGTAAGAGAGATGATCTGACTACCTCTAGAATAGAAGCGATAGGGTATGTAGGTCAGATAGGTTGTATGCTGCATGAGTATAGTCGGGTCTGAGCTTGCTTGATTGTCACCTGTTTGCTTACCCCAATGTGTGCCTGTTGTCTCCTTTCCACTGTTGTGCAGGTCTGACTTTCCGAAGACAGCCATACCAAGAGGAGGGAGGGGGACACGGCCGCCTCGGAGGCCGTTGGGAGCATCAGGAGGATATGAGCGGCATGGGCCTCACCATCGAAAGAGTACTCCGGTGTACGATGATGGGGACATCGAGCTATTCCTTGACAACTTTTGGGATCATGCGAGGCGTATGGGCTGGACCGTGGCCCAGGCGATTGAGAGATTGAGGGGAGCAGGCAGGTTCGAGGAGCCCGTCGCGAGGATCCGTAGGGAGGCGACGACGAGATCAGAGGTGGAGTGGAGGATGCAGGAGYTRCRACCCTCGCCTSTGGGACCTGATGGCAGGCCGATCCGCMTGGAGATTGGAAATGCGTCGGACTTCATCCCCGCGTTTGAGTGGTTCATGCAGGGGCAGGGTATACCGAGAGATGATTGGATGCAGACGCTACCACTCTGGACCACTGGCTAGCCAGGTCAGAGACATGGCCCGAGATTGGGAGAGCTGCAGGGCACATCTGAGAAAGGCCTTTCGACGGTCGGAGCCCCCTCAGCCCAGAGTTGAGAGGCGTCAGAGGAGTCAGAGGCAGAGGGACCCTACGCCCAGGGAGGCGCGACCATCTCGAGGAGGACGGAAGACCCTAGCTAGGAGAGAACCGGAGCCGGAGCCAGAGGTTGAGGAGCGAGGGGCGTATCCTGAGTGTGGGTTGGGACCAGTGGAGTTCCACCGATTTACCGCGGGAGGATTGAGGAGGAGGTCGCCAGCTCGTGCACAGGAGGAGCTATCAGCATCTGAGGGGCCCTTGAGGGAGTTGGAGACGCATTTGGATATCTCTCGGTGGAGGGCGTCACATCGGGGTGAGGAGTCTGGAGAGCAGGCAGAGGAGGCGCCACAAGAGGAGGTGCCACGAGAGGAGGTCCCACGGGAGGAGGTGCCACGAGAGGAGGTGCCACGGGAGGAGGTCTAGGATACTCAGCGAGAGAGAGGACCGGGCGATGAGGAGAGACGTGCAGGGAAGGAAGTGATAGAGGTTGAAGAGAACACGCCCCCTCAGTCGCCAGCAGTCGCCTTGAGGCTTGGAGATGCATCTGGGGGCACGCGCCAGACAGGAGAGGAGTTGCAGAGAGAAGAGGCCCCATTGCCTTCGTCAGGAAAGGCTTCTTCACCAGAGAGCAGGGCAGAAAGGAGAAGAGAGAGGGCAGTTGTAAGGAGAAAGGCCTTGACTCTGATTGACAGGCACCTAGCAGCTCATGCCCTGGAGCACCCAGACCTGGAGGAGCCAGCACCTGCAGAGCCATGCCAGAATCCGTGCCAGCCCGAGAAGGAGATGGAGGCAGAGATCCCAAAGAGGGTTGACCTCCGCACGAGGGAAAGGGCGCCAGCTGGAGAGACAATAGAGGAAAAGAGGGCGAGAAGAACCAGGAGGATAGATGAGATATAGCAAGAGAGACAGAGGTTGGAGGCAGCGGGGGAGCTTCCGGAGCAGCAGCAGGAGAGGCAGAGATCGGAGGCAGCAGGAGCACTCCCAGGTCAGCCACCCAGCGCGCCAGCTAGGGCTCCGGAGATCCCTGAGATGTGGAGGGACTTTTGGGAGCAGAGAGGAGAGAAGCTTCCTTCGCCAGTCAGAGTCAGGTTTGGGGTGACAAGGAAGGCAGAAGAAAGGTTGGATTGCAAGATCAAGTTCCTGGCCAAGACAACTTTTGACCGGCACTTGTTGTTGGAGAGCGATCTGGCAGAGAAGAAGATGAAGGAAGCCGGCCATGGAGTACGCCTGGAGGCTATGGAGGTGGAAATCCAAGAGCTCAGGGCATTGGTGGTCAGTCAGGCACTTATCATCGAGAGCCTGAGGCAGCAATCTCAGGGAGAAGTGGACAAGCCAAAGAGCAGCCAGCAGGGGGAACAGAGGCAGGCAGGGCATAAGTCAGCAGAGCAGCCACGCCAAAGATCGCCCATGGGGAGAGTCATCATGGAGCCAGAGGAGGCAAAGGCCACGAGGGAGGCAGAGAGAAGAGCTTTTGAGTTTAGGACTCCTACAGAGCTCAGCACTCTGCCTATTATGCCCGCAGAGCCTGTTTTGCCCATACCTGTTGAGGAGGGTTTGCCAGTGATTAGCAGTGGGCTGGCTCAGGGCTCAGCTGGGGAGTCCATGGATGTACTCTTAGAGGCGATAGATACCATGCAAGAGGAGGCGAGCTTGTTCTCACCTGAGCAGAGATTGGACGAGCCTCTGGAGAGTGCATTGAGAGTTGAGACCAGGGATGCTGCTGAGGGCAGGCCACAGAGATTGGACCCACCTGAGTATAGGCCAGAGGGGGTTGGGATTCGATCGCAGTCGAGTACTCAGGAGTTGGAGAGSAAGCCTGAGGGGCCCTCGGACGTGCCTTTGAGTTTTGAGCTGAGCAGGGAGGCTAGCGAGGCACCATCCTCTCCTGGATCTCAAATGGGGAAGAAGAAAGGGAAAAAGAGGCATGATGATTCCTGCTTCTATTGTAAGAAGGAAGGTCACAGAGCCTAGGATTGTCCTAAGTTCCTGAAGGACGAGGCCGATGGAAAAGTGACTAGAAGGAATGGGAAGATGTACGATAGGCAGGGGAGAGTAGTAGAGAGATCTGCAGATGGAGGTAGGGCTCAATTGTATAGGCAGAACCAGGAGGAGATGAGTGAGTAGGGCTGGTCTACCTATATGATTGACATGTTGTATATAGGATCTGAGTTTAGAATGGAGTGTCATCTTTTAGATTCAGATAGTTGTTTGTACTTGATAGTCGCTTTGGATTTGGGTTTCCGTTAGATTGTCATCTTGAGAATCAGGACTTGATAGATGAGACATGTACATATTTAGGTTGCCTACACCCTGAATTTTGAGAGACAGTTCTGACATGTACTTTGAGGATAGTTGTGAGTGTCAGAGTGGTTTGATATTCAGTTGAGTGAGTTGTGATCTGGAGACACTTTTTGTGTGAGACATTTTATCCCTGAGTGTATATTATGACGATACTTTTTCAGGGGTTATTCTCTATATATGGCGATCGCTTGTCTCGCTCACATGTGTGGTTGTACTTGATGCATGATGGATTTTTGTGGACAGTGTGTGAAAAGTATCTTATGTATCTTGCATATTGTGAATGTGATGATAGGCAAACTGTCCTCTCCTCGGTATACTTATGCGATCTGCCCTTGGGCAGAAGATGAGGCAGGGTATAAGGGGAGGTAGTGCASTTCGCAWTTATGAAGAGAGATGCAAARATTTCAAATGTTCATATGGCTTGAATTGTGCAGGAAGGACCCATAAGTTGGTCTTTCAGTTTRATTGTTTATGRGAGAGYTCATCCTAGAGAGAGAGGGATGGCTAAAAAGACCTATTGAAGAGAGACCTCCTTTATATAAGGTGGTTAGATGGTAAATTATTATGATTGATAAAAGACTGACTAGAGGGACCAGAATTTTGTTTGGTTATTGGTGAGATTTTTGGATGTCGCAAATGGTTCATTTTTGGGAGATGACACCGAGATGTGTGGCTTTTCTGCTCTGATCAAGTGGGGAGGTCATGGCCTGGTGAACCTGACAGTGATTTTGTTTGTGATTGTGAAGAGGTTGCCTTGACTCTTGGTGCTGTCCCACCAAGGGCTGGTAAATACCTTTTATGTGTGACAGGTCTATGCGTAGTCCCGCAGTAGGTCTGTATTGTTGCAACACACCGTCAATCACTTGTGCTAATCTTGGGCATTTATGAGAGACCCAGCTAGGGGTATAACTAGCATCACTAGGACGCAACCCCTAGTGTTGGCCGCTGTTTGGCATAACCTGAGCAGAGGGTCTGCGTCTTGCCAAGGGGATAGAAAACTTAAAGGGGCGTAAACGCCTATGAGGGTTTTTATTCCTGCGGAAGGGTGTGGGATAAGAGTCGAGTCATGTGGGTCTTTGTGAAAAGAGTCCTGATTGATTGCTTATCAGGAAAAGCCTACCGTGGCGTAACCCGCGGGGGCACTATCGTCAAATAACAACACGGTGGGCCGTAGATCTGGCATGATCACCCAGACTATGGTGGGCAAGGATGGAGACCTAACCTTCTTATACTAGACTGCAGGAAGGATTGATGTGAAGATTTATGTGGTGTATGTGAGCCTGATGTGAAAATTTTTGAGAGAAAGGCGAAAAAGTGCCTTCGAAGGTCTCGGTTAGGGTCTGCGTCCCTAGTCATGACTTTGTTTTACAAGGGAAGGGCTAGGAACACACAACGAGAGGCCGGCGGTTGTCTAAGGCAAAGGGGAGGGGACAGTGAGAGATCCATTTGAACTTATGCTGTAGTACAGTGAGGAGAATCCTGACGCCCGAATGTCAGGACGACGGAGACCCAGGTTAGAATCCTGGCAGCATAAATTGGCATGGATTATTGGAGGCCTCGAACCTGAGTCTGTCGGTCAATCGGATTGGTACCCTGCTCGTCGGCATTTTTGGAATGGGATTGAACTGATAGCTTTTTGATTCTGCGAAGCGACAGGGACGTCGCTTAATATGGTCCGGTAGGCTGTCGGCGCGAATACCCTTACAAGGGTATCCGCCCTGGTTTTTGCAAGTGACAAAAAAAAATAAAAAAACAAGTTTAGTTGAAGTTTGCGTAGACTGCAAAAACTGCAAGTTGCCGTTGACTAAAGGCTTGACTATAACATCCGAAAATAGAGGTTGTGTGGGCGCGCAGGCTTAAGGCGCACGTGATTTTTTTCTTTGATCTTGATTGTAAAACCGGCACGGACTCTGGTTGTTTATGTTATTATAAATGTTATTTCTGACTAAACCAAGATTTAGGATTATGGTTGACGACCCAGAGTAACCCTGCGTCGAATCCAGATGATGGGACCTGACGGATACGACTAAGTAGGTGTAGCCGTGGCACGGTCGGTATGGTCGGCGCGGGCTTTTTTGGTGGTTGCGTAAGTAGGCGTAGGCGGGAGAATACTGCGGAGCACTTTGCGGCCCTGGACGATCATGCTGTTACTGTTGTACCTCTTTATTTAGGAATTCGAGCATGTTGGTTTTAGGCTTGGGCTTAGCCCTATTGGTTACGGTACTGGATTGACATGGCAGAGGTCTTGGGGTCGAGGCCGGCGAGCGTCGGAGTGGTAGCTAAAGCGGAGCATGAAGAATGAACCAACGGGGTTGAGGGCCACAAGGCTATCCCCCTCGGCTTTTGCTAACGGGCGTGGCGGCGGGCCCAATCCACGGGACTGGTGAGGAGCCAACAGCCCCGCCGTTCCCCGACAATGCTATTCATTGCTCTATTTTATTTCCAATTTTTATTTTTCCAATTTTTATTTTTGGTCCTTTTTTTTATCGCGCCCCGTCCTGGGACACAAGGCGGCGGTAGGGTTGCATGGGGGTGTGTTGTATTCGCGGGGTTGCTTGAAGTCCAATTACAAACTGATTTTGCGGCTGCGCCAGGCCGCGCCCCATTTTTGCCTTATGGCGTGGCGCCGTGGGGAGAAAATACAGGCTCGTGTTCAGACCCATCTGAGGGAACTTGATGAGTAAATCCAAATAGTTTGGGTTGTCTGAGAGGTCGGGGTCGTCTGATCCCTGTGGCCCAGGCTGGTCCTTATTGGAATGATACGGACGAGACCAGCGGGGTCACGGCGGGGTGTTGGGGCTGTAGAGCGAAGGCCCAAAGGAAAACCTTGGTAGAGGCTCGCAGCGATACTGACATGCAAAATCGTTCGCCGGGCTTGGGTATAGGGGCGAATGACTAATCAAACCAGCAAGTAGCCGGATTTTTCCCGAAGCCCCCCCTCTCGCGGCTGACCAGGTAGCGCCACATAGCAGCGAGTGTCGGAACATCAGCCGTAGGAGGCAAGGCCGACAGGGATATAACGCTGTGAGGGAATGCGGCGAGTGAACCTGTTCGAGGTTCTACCGCAGGTACATGTGGAGCGAATGGGCAAAACCTGGCGGGATCAGGCAACAGCGGGCACATAGTGCTGCGCAGTGGGGGCAAAACGATAGCACGGTGGAAGCGGGGTTCCGCTGTGACTAAGTCCTTCGGGACATCCGTTAAAATTGGAACGATACAAAGAA